CAGGCCCCGGCGGCTGGCGCCGCGCTTGGAGAATGCGCAGCGCCGCCGGGACGGCGTAAGGGCGCGGGCAACGTCAGCGGCCGGAGACGCGCGGGGCGGAGGAAGGAGCGGGCCGGGGAGCGCGGGGGGGGGGTCGGGGGAACAAAGCTTTGTTTACATGGGTTTTAAAGGGGCCGCGCGCTCGGGCCGGCGGGCGGCGGGCACTGCGGCAGCCGGTGTCGCTGCCTTTTGCTCGTTGGCGTGGGGAGGGCTCCCGGATGGGGACCGGGACCTGTCCCCGCCAGAGCCCCGCACCTGGTGGAGTCGTCTCTCCCCGAGTGTCCTCCTTTCCACAGGCCCCTGGACACCCCCTCCCCCGCCCACCCGCCGCCACAGAACTGCTGTAGCACCACACGCCCAAGGGAGCTTCCGATGCGCCCGCCACCGATGACCCCCACTGAGGATGCTGGCATTATTCTTTACTTTCCAATACGCTGCCGCCGGCCGCCGGATTGATGTTTGTGTCTTTCCAGCTTTCCCCTCCAGTGGACAAGGGCCATAGTTCTCTGATCCTGGGTTTTACCAGCAACCCAAATAGTGACTCCTTGTTTTCATGTTTGTCCTTTTCTCCTCCGTAAACGTTCATGGAAATAGCCGCCAAATAGTGGTGATGATGGGAACATGCAGAAGGCACAGTTCCAATCTTCCCAAATACATCGCTATCTTAACCAGTACTCGAGGCTGCCTCCTGAGAGGGGTCAGATTCTGGGAGAGGTGGTCGTGGTGGGAGGAAGTAAAGGGGTTTTAGGATCCTGGGCTCAGTCTGAGTGGGAAAGCCATTCCTCTGGGTCAGATTAGGTCAGTCCCTGTCTGCTGAGGCCAATTTCCGTCGTTCCCACTAGGAATTACCGGTGTTAGATAATGCTGGTTCCTGTTTTCCATTGGATTCTATTCCGACTTCCAGTCAAAGCCCCCAGATTAAATTTTAGCTGATTCTGAGAGTATTGGTTGTTTGAAGTTTGTATTGACTGCGTGCTACCACGTGCGATGGAAATGAAATGGTAGTGAATTACATACACACTTTCTGTTATGGATGGAGTGGACTGGTGCTCAGCATTCATTTCAACCTCCGCCCTCCTAGGGTGTCTTCCTGGTTTGCGGACGCAGGACACTTAAAAACTACATTACCCAGACTTCCTTGCAGCTAGGTTTTTGTATGCAAGTTCAGCCCTGCCAGTTACGTTCAGTCAGAGAGGATTTTGGAGGCAGAAGTGAGGCAGAAGCCTTTGACTGTTGCTTCTGCAAGCCCAGCCCTGGAGATGTTGTGGTTTTCTTGGTTTCGTTTTGTTAGTTTTTTCCAACAACCTTCCAGTGTCCAGTCTTTAGCTCCCTGAGGGTACCAAGCAGGGATGGTGGGTCAGGGGCTTCCTGACTGGCATAGCAGCTACAGTGGTAGATTCTTGGAGTCACAGTTGCATGGCAGTAATTCCCTGCTTGTCTGATTGGGTAGAGGTAATGGCTCCCTGTGGGCCAGGCCCAGATCTACTCTCCACCAGTCCTCCTCCCCACACTTGTGTCTCTCTACATGTTCCCCTTCTCAGTAAATGGTACCACCAGTTACCCAGTTGCTCAAACTAAAAACCCAGGAGTTATCTTGATTCCTAGTGTCTCAACAGTCCCCCACATCCAATCAACAGCTAACACCCTGGTTCAAGCAACCATCACGTTTCTCCTGGGCTCTGGTAATAGATTCCTAACTAGTTTCCCTGCTTCCTGTCTTGCCCTTTGATAATTTATTCTCCATACAGCTGCAGAACATTCTTTTAAAAATCATAAATCAGATCATTTATGCCCC